ACGATGGAGTGCGGGGCCCGTACTCTCGTCAGGTTAACCCGTCCAAGGCCTCATCGGCGGGTTAACCTCACGGGAGAACATTATCGTGGTTTTCTCGAAGCGAGCCAGAGGGGTACTCATCCCGTTGTGAGATACCCCATTCTCGGTAAGTCTATAAACATGTAACTTCATGTTCGCTGTGACTAGAAAGATTTTCTTAAGGAGGGCCGCTTTGTTACACCTTCGAACATCTGAGAACCACGTCGCAGGGCCAGGTCGTATACCGCTGCATCGGGTGTAAGAAGGAGGGACGAACAACTAGTGTAGCGGTACTGAGTTGGAACAAGATCAGACCTTTGAAAGGGCTTCACTACTGATATGATAGCTTAGGTTGCGAATGGATGTGAGCTCATCGGGGATCCCGCTTCGTTGCCGCACGTCTGCCAGCCCTTGCGGAACGCGCAGGACAAAGTCCAGCGAATAGTGTACCAGGTGAAGTGATGTTTTGCCTGAGCCAAGCGGCCATTCAGCGGGCATGAGCGAAATTCAGGAAAGGCAGAAATACCGGCCGACCCCAGACTTGCGCACGTCAAGCCACGGCAGCTGTGGCAGAAATTAGCCGAAAAAATTCATTATTGTCAGGATGCGGGTGAGTTGCTCTCAATGAAGCCAACTTCATGACTTTTAACTTTTCGTACTTAGATCAAAACGAGAGGGAGGAAATGCTGCACCACTTCTGTCGGGACGGGTATGAGTCGCGGAGGAGTACGATGTCTAGGTTCACTACTTGGCTTGCATCAATAGAGCTATGCAGTAGTGCGATTGTAGTTTCAGATGTAATCAGTGTCATCACTTCCAGGGCAACCGCCAAGTTGCACGATAGGCGCGTCCTCGATGGAAGTGGTGCCGAGGGAATACGCCGAGTTACCCGATGGCACGCCTTTTCTTCAATACACACCCCGACCTTCACATCTACTATTCGCCAAGGATTGTAGGGTAATTTCCAACATGTATAGTAAGTTTGAAGCATCAACTTCCTTTGACAATCGGCTCTCAAGAGATATTCCGGTCTGACGTGTTAGGTAAACTCATCCTGTCTGTTTCAGAAGGCGTGCCAGCTTGGTTTGTGCGCTCTGGTTGGAGATGGCGTTCACGATCTCCAACCGAGCGCTACAAATCAAACGGGCCAGCTCTACATAATCCACGGAGTGATGCCAAACTCCGTGGATTTCCGATTACTATTATGCCATATGTACAAGGTTTGAAACGTTTCTGGAACTATTAGGTTGTCCTGAAAATCTTTGCCCATTTCCATGTGTATGTTGTGAAATCTCCAGGGATAATTTTTGAACATCCATTGTAAAACGTATGTGAACCCCAGTCGATGATCTCTCCAGAGCGTCTCTGCCGTGGTATTTCGCAGCTATTATGGCTGAAAAAATCGACTTTGACAGTCTGTGGTGCAGTGCACGGTAACTGACACAGCTTTTCCACAGACATCAGAACACAATGGCCATTCCTCAATAGCTCCTCAAAAAGAAAAGAAATTATGGAAAAAGGGATTCCGTGATCTGGGTGACAACCGCCTTCAGAAGCCTTCAGATTTTGCATGAATATTTTGATTTACCGTCTGTAACGCGCTTGACCCAACTACTTTGTTGGTGGTAGCAAGGAGTGGGTTCCTCAAGTAAACCACACCCGCGAGCGCCACTGGCTCAGACGCGTAGAACCAAAGATTCAGATGTCCACTCTAAAAAAAAAAGCACTGCAATCTTAGACAGCAACTTTCAGTGTTGGTATAAAGCCCAAGTGATCGGTTTGTCGGACCAGCTGGCTACCAACGGCCTTGCTTTTATCCTTCTATTTTATAAAGCGCTAACTTTGTGTGTCGGTTTGTGTATCTGTATGTGTGTGTGTGTGTGTATGTATGTGTGTCCGTCCGCAAAATGAAGTGAGTGAGAAGGAAGCTCATGGGATAAACAAACCGCTAACAAATCGGGTAGCTTACAGGATTTGAGATATCAATGTTTTGTAGCAGGATAGTTGTGATAACACTCTCAGGGCTATATAAACACCTGCTTAGCACACTTCCGTTCATTCCACATGGTGCTGCAGTGGCAGCTGGAGGGCAGTGGAGAGAGGAAGGGAGGATGAGGAAGGGAAGCGAAAAATCTACCGTCATATCATGATTGTGTCCCTTCTACTGTATGAAACACCATTGTGTTGCATACGCGTCACTTCCAGGAGGTGTTGGTGTCACAGGAGGAAGGGACCATAGCGGAGGATAGAAAGCTTGCGCAGGAAAGGAAGGTCCCGGCGGTTGACGGGGGACTAATCTGGTAGTTCAATAATGTGGGCAAGCAGATGGGATCTCCAACACTATGCGTAGAAAACATTACAGAGATCACTTCATCCGAGCAGCGATCGTCAAAGAATTTTGAAGAAGGTCCAGCAAAAGTCTCCAAAGCCCCTCATGGGATGTTCTGTCCCGCCATTTGTGTTCAGCCGATCCGGCCCCAACAGAATACCATCTGCTTCTGTTGCTGCTGATTCAACTAAAAGAGGGAGAGCTTTATGTTCCGGACTACTCGGAAAACGGACTTCCTCCAGTTTTTTGCCTTGAAAGCTCAGGACTTCTAGGCAAACGGCATCCACAAGTCACCTGCTGAAAGGCAGTATGTTGACGATGACGATGGGGCATATGAGTGTAAATTGCTGGCTGGGTTAAAGGCATGCCCCAGGATCACATTGATGTGGCTTTTGTTCACGACTGCGAATGTATTAGTGGAAAGTGAGCCGGCAGTAAAGAAAGAAGGGAGAAAGAATCCGTCAAAAACGCTCAGGTTAAGGGCTCACTCACCTTCCTAATCGGCTGTGCTAAGGGAATGAGAGACTAAGCGCGGAGAGGAGAGTATGAGGCGAGAGAGCGCTACAGATGAGAGATCGCCAGACAACAGCCTGATAAGAGAAAAAAGTCTGCAGCTTGGGCAGCTTACTTTGCAAGGCCCAAGCGCTCTTGTCGGTTGGTTTCCGTGCACGGAACGCCATTTGTGATTGTCCTCTAGGGGTCTATACTACAGACCGAAGAGAAGCGTTCACACGACCTCTGCCTGGGTTGTGCCTTTAAAGAAGAAATGCGGATTTGAAAGAAAATCAAGAAATGGTCAAAGACTTTCAGGACAACCTAATAGATACTCAACGGTTTCGCGGGCTCATTTCTTCTATTCAGGAAAACGGAACGGGTTTATGACGTGATCTATGGAAAATTGAAGGATGCCATTACAGAAGCTGGAGGATCGGAGCGACTGAGATTCTGCTGGACTATGAGAAGGCCGCCATTACTGCGGCTAAGAGGTGCTTCCCAAGCGCATCGGTGCAGGGTTGCGCTCTTCCATCTGGCGCAGGCCTGGAATAGGAAAAGAGATGCGCTTGGGTTGCGCCAACAGGTAAAGGGACGCCTACGGTGTAGAGCCGTCCAAAAATGGTGGCACACCATCATGGGGTTGGTATTTTTGCCGAGACCTCTACACCGTAGGGTCCCAGCGTTACATCGCCCACCAGTTCCCAGGGGACACGCCGGCATACGCCCAGTGCTCCGGAGTTCCTTGGCTGTTCGAAACAATATTAGGTATCGTGGAATTTTTTTAGGAATTTGTGGAACAAATGGAACGTCAAGGAGCTGTGCACCACTAACGTCGCGGACGGCATTCAACAGGTTCGCAATGCACAAGTATAGCTTACTCTCCCTCAAAAGCACACCCATTCTATTTTACCGCCTTCTGGCCGTATTGGTGAATGGTGTCAAGTACCCCATGACCTAGTGCATCCCCGTAATGGAAATGTCAATTTGGCATTTAAAGGACGAATTCACGATGAAAGGCAACCCATTTCAAATTAACTCAGGGATGGTGAGTGGTACACGAAAGAAGGAAGAACCATGAGAAACGGCCCAGAACCCGAGAAATGGGACCCCTTCCTTCCCCCGTTGATTTGAGCATTGATGCGACTCTTATCGCTGTGCCCTCCTCAACATCACGCTCTCTCTGCTATCTAATCAATCCCCACGTATAGATCTGCGGCGAGTGATCAGCTGGTCGGTGGGCGGAGATCGCCAGACCCGCCAACTTTGAGGCATAATAGGTCGCCGAGGTCAAATTTTTCGATGCGAATTGCGCATCAGTTCGCACCCTCAGGAGGTCCGTGGGTTACTCAACTAGGTGAATTACTTCTTCCTCGACCTCCATTCTAATCGTGAAAATCCTCCTTTAAGTCATGATAAAGAAGTTTAATCTGATGAGCCATTGTAGCACACGGTCGCGCAGTATGCAGTGGTGGAATCATTCGGGCAATGCTTTCGGTTCGAACTCATTGAAATCAAAAGGGCTCGCTGCATCAATGTATATAATTCCAAATATTTATTCATTCCTAGTTGAAAGATCAGATCGATATATGGTAGTGACATTAAAGGAAGAATTCACGATGAAAAAGCAACCCATTTCAAATTAACCTAGGGATGGAGTGGTACACGAAAGAAGGAACCATGAGAAACGGCCCAGAACCCGAGAAATGGTACCCCTTCCTTGCCCGTTGATTCGAGCATTGATGCGACTCTCATCGCTGTGCCCTCTTCAACACTACGCTCTCTCAGCTATCTAATCACTCGCCACGTATTGAACTACGGCGAGTGATCAGATGATCGGTGGGCGGAGATCGCCGGACCCGCCAGCTTTGAGGCATGATAGGTCGCCGAGGTCAAATTTTTCCATGCGAATTGCGCGTCAGTTCGCACCCTCAGGAGGTCCGTGGGTCCCTCAACTAGGTCAGTTTCCCTTTCTTCGACCTTCATTCTAATCGTGAAGTAAAACGTGTACTTGTACTAGAAGAGCGTGGATAAGCTGTTGCCAGCATGCCTTGCTGATAGCCAGCGAGGTATGTCGAAAGCAGCTTACCCACATAGTTTCGTTTAGTTTTTTTGGGAGCCACTCAATCCAGCACTCACGAGTAAACTGATTTTTCCGCCAAGGTTCACCGTAACGTGGAGCTTTTTTTTTTCCAATTCACACTACGGGGCGCCGTCTCCTCCGCCCTTGCGTACCTGAAATTTCAATTAAATATTATTGATCTTGAGTACGGGACGATCCCTTAAGATCGCACGAGCCGTCAGCAATGAAGCGGGCCTAAAAATAAGAAGAAAATAAAAAAGTTGAAGTTGATGGGCCAGGGCCAAAAGGGTAATGTGGACCGCAGCAAATCTGTCGCTCCAGTCGACAAAGTCAATCCTCTGCTGCGTCCATCGGAAAAATGCCGCATTACGGCGCCGCTCCCGGACGATTCTGGGTGCTAACTATTAACTTAGTTGGGGGGGGGGAGACCACGCGGCGGCGCGACAGTCTGCTCACCCTGGGCTCTCTCGAGCGAGACAGTGTAAACTCGAACATTCCAGCTTTTCACGCATGTCAAGTGACTGCCCCCACCCCCCACCCCCCTAGGGCTGCCTACACTCCCCCTGGCCCACGGATTTCCGAACATGCCAGGCGAGCAGACTGCCGCGCCGCCGCGTGCCCCCCCCCCAACTAAGTTAGCACCGTGTGACCCGATTCTGTTGGGGCACGCCTCTCCCCGAAGGAGTTCGTTAATGGGACGGGAGCACGAACTTTAGAATGTGCGTGAAATAGGCGAAAATAGAGGCGGGGTTGAAGTGGGTCCACTATTCTTACAATCAAAATCATATACCTAAAAGCAGCACTGATGTGAGCTTGTGGTGAGAGTGTGGTCGTATTTATGGACTACCCTCCCCCCTCACATGCGTATGTGGAAGAAGGTTCGTATCAAGACAATAGGAAAGGAAGTCGTAGAATTTCAAAAAAGTACAAGCGCGACGGTCAACAATGGCTCTCATACGCCCCTCTGACGAGCACCATCAAAAATAAAACACGACAAGTCTAAACGAACCCAGATCAGTGGACGCACGAAATTGTTGAAACTGTTAAGAATTAGAGACCCCTTAGAACTTGTCGAAACCTGGTTTTGATACCTCACCCTGCCCACTGCACCAGTCATAAGCTTGTCCACATGCAAGGGGCGGAAGAAGGTAACATTTTTCCAGTTTTCGGCTGTTTTCGGGGGTTGTTCTTCGGTACACCTTATCACCTCTACCTTTATACTTCACTTGGTTCGAAATATCGTGATTGCTGCCTCGAAGGAGCTATCACTGCTTGCAATTAAACCTGCACGGTAGACATGTTATTTCAAAACCAAAGTCAGAAAACCAAAAGCAAGGGCATGTTTGCTGCTCAGAGGACAAAGCACAAGTCCAGAGCCTGGTAGGGGGTGAAATTGAGAATATCAATTTTGCACCAAGCCTACATATGACAAGTAGCTTGGATGCGCATCGCCAAACATCCTCTAGGACCAAGCCTAGAGGGACAGAAACTACGAGGAGAAAAGTGGGTCACGCACACCTAAAGTCTCTACTCCAATGTCTGAAGCTTACCAAGCTCTTATGTTTTACGCGGTTTTGAATGCAGTGTCTTCACAGTGCCCCTGTGTCATGCGATAGCACCAGGCCGCTTCAAGTAAAGCTCTCTGCCCTCACCGCGCATTGATTTTAATGTCTACGGCAACTTTTCCACCTTATTGACGACGCTGGGCTCTTTTGAGTGCCAACGCTTACCTACTCTTCTTCCGTATGTATTGCCGCTCAAGTCAGCTCGATTGATAGGGTGTTTTTCAGCAATGTTATCACAATCATCTGGAATGCAAAATAAATCTGGCAGGTGAAGTTCATTCCATTCCCAACGTGTTCCCTCTTTGCTCGTGCTCGTTCTTCGTGGAGTACTCGTGTGCTGATCATCTGTTTTACTCGTACTTGACTTACTGTGAGTTTCTATGGAACATTTTTGAGCAAGGATACTTCAGATTTTTGTTCATATTGCGACAATTATGGGCGCTATCGTAAGAAAGGGGAGCACCCTCTCGGAAGGAGCCTAGGACGGGGTAGGAATTTCGAAGAAAACAACAATCACTCACGCACCACAGACTCTCCTCCCGCGCCTGAGGCTTGGTTCCATTTAGCAGAATGAAACGTTTTACCCGGTTTATGTGCTTTGCCAACACTACGCCCCGTTGCTTGCTATAGTACCAATTACGATCATCACAGCAGTAATATGAGATTTTGAATCAATTGTCAAAATTACCATTTTCGAGTAACTTTATCGCCTTTGAATATAAAGCTGCTTCCACACTTCGAAGAGTTTCGTTACTGAATGAGTGGGGATATTACGACCTTAAAGACAGGAGGTATGATAAATTGTGAGTTGAAGAAGGGGATAAATGCCTACTATAAACAGAGCGGGTTCCCTAAGAGAGCTGGGCGAGGCGCTTTTTGCAGCAAAGGGTGCACCCGTAGCAGCTTCCCAAGCCTTTTCTGCAACGGTGGACTCCATTCGCGGCTGTCCGCATCCACCGACTGGCTACCCTCGCTGTCGGACTCCACCGGCTCTAGCAAAGAGGCAGAGTAGACCGTTCAAGTTGGTGACGTCAGCACCAATAAGACTCACCCTAACTAACGTCTAAATGAACCAGGAAAACAAGAGCCTTGTTTTGTTCGTTTTAGGTGGTTTCCCTCAGTTTTTTTTGTTTGTTCACAGCTGCAGCTCGTAGTTCCTGTTTCTTTTCTGGCGGGTGACTTTATCGTGTGCTTCTAAAGGAAGAAGATACACTTACTTTGTTGGTTCAAAGTGAAAGTTGAGTTGCTAAGTGATGCAGCGGCAAGAAGGAATCAAAAAGTAACGGGCTCACCACCACCTGAGATAACTAATCGGACACGGGGCCCAAACACGAAATCGGAGCCAAATAAGAATGGGGCCTCGTGTGGTCGCTTTGGGTACTCGTGGTTCGGACGGTTGCTCCTCTCTAACCCTCCAACACGACGCATCAAGGTGGTTCGGAGCCCTCGTGGTCCTTCCCGGACACACGCCATCCTACGGGTCCTTCCCGGGGACCATGCTGTTTCCCGCAAGCATGGCCTCCGCTCCCCGGGGCGTCACGGGTTCCTAACCCAGGGAAGGGGGTTTAAGGGTCGCGGTAAGCGGTAACCCGCGGGGCAAGGCCCACCGTCGGCCCGGGCTTTCCCAGCCCAAGGGCCGAGGGCTCCCTTGCCCCGGCTACACCCCACAACATAACAGCACACAAGAAATTATTGCGCCTTAGTCGGGCCCCTTCCCTGGCGCTCCCCAAACTAAACCCCCGATACAACAATTACACACAATACACTCACATTTATTGGCGGCTATTGGCGGTAATAATTCGACGTCCTAATCCGTCATCTTCTGCCCGGCTTGGAGATGTCAGCCATCGCGTCGTCCATCCATCAGGAATAAGCTTCCATACAGTGATCACAATGGCTGAAAGGCGGTGCGGTTTTGATGACATCATTGGCTGGACTCTCCAGCTCACTGGAAGTGTGCTCGGGATCGCTTTTCAACGCGCTATCACCAAGTACATTCGATGACATCATCAAAACCGTACCCCCTCGAACCATAGAGGTCATTGCGTTTTAGAAAGAGGTTCCCTAGTTCTTCCAAATCAAACCTAGCTCCCGTAAAAAACATAATTGCAGAAAGCTGATCAATGCTTCCTCACAAGCTAGTCTACAGAGCTCTGTGCAATTTCGGAGACAAGTTTGTCTATCCTGTTCTGCCGGCTTTCGCTAAACCAGTGTGGAATCACCCTGCTGGGCCCAAGACCGTCTTCTTCTGGGCTCCAACTATCAAATGGGGACTTGTTATAGCTGGTATCGCGGATCTCGCTCGTCCGGCGGAGAAGCTCTCTGTTTATCAGGTGAGATTTCTTGAGCTGTTTTCATAGCTTTTTTCTTGTTCTCGACAACGAAGACTGTGCCTATATGTCAATATGTTTACCAACTTTATTAATGATGATAAACAATTGCATAACACAAAAGAGGATTTGTAATGGCCACAAGCTAG